CCAGATTTCCAGAATGTCTTAAACAGAATACATAAGGTTTGGCCAGGCCATCAGCAAGTTCCTTGAGTATCCTGGGATGTGGTTGTAGCTCAGATCTTACAAGAGCCCGAGAACTGCTTCTAAGTTCTGGCGGTACACATCTGATGATCGCAATGGTCCTAACTACCAGATCCCACAGTAGTGATCCGCTGATATGGTTATCTATGCCGACACTGCAAATTGCAGGGGTTTGGAAGACAAGGAAAAGAGTTACAGGTGCATTTACAGTTGCATTACCTCCACCGCCCTGTAGTGACTTTTTGTAGCCCAAATCTGGCAAGTCTGTTTTCTCTAAATTTAAACCTCAATGTTTAAGTAATGTTCCTTCCAAGACAGGATTCTTCTGTGTTGCCTGGGATTTTCACAGTAACATCTGTGTTCCTGTAAAAGAGAGAAGGCATGTTAAAACGTTAAAACCTGCCCTATTTTACTGCTAATGCAGTCCCATCAGTGGATTTACTGCAATTTAAGTAACGTGTGCTCCTGGAAGCTAATTATCTGATCTGAACGGAAACAGTCTGTCGGAGTCTGTGACCCACACTCATTATTTCTGCAGTTTCTGTGCTGAGTTGATTCCTTGACTGCGTTCCATTTTCGGAAACAGATGAATATTTTCAGAGTTCCCTTGCTGAGTGTTTGTTTGTTTGTTTTGAACACCTGCCTCAAAAGCATTTTGGACCTTAACCAAAAGCATCCTTTGATGCACATTTTAAAACACGAAAGTGAAAACTACAATCCCCAGCTAACTTAGGAGAAGAAGGTTAGAATCCAAACAGTGTTGCCTCCAGCTATTACTACAAGCCGTACAGGCCAAGTAACAAGCCTGGTCTTGTTATGGAAAGCACGGTAAGGAAACAGTCTACCTGAGGCATCGCTTCTCCAGAATCGCCTGGAAATAACGTTAAATGATCGCAAGAAATCATCTTGCTATCACGTTATTATAATATCATGTAATATAATATCACAAGATATTATCCCATGATCTGGTGACAGGCTGGTCTGTGGGCTGGTTTCTCCAGCCTGGTGCCGGCTGGCAGCAACCCCTAGCCAGCTTCGGTGAACCTGAAAGCTAAGCCACGTAAGACCCACTTACTTGGGGGACCAGCAGGAACCCACCAGGTGTAAACAGACCACCCCAAGCATCCCAGACGAGGGTGAAGCGCTTTGAGATCATTGCCAAGAAACCAGGGTTGAAGTGGGTACAGCTTTGACTGTGCCTCTGTGGCCACCGTTTGACTCACCCTGCGGAGACCCCGCAAGGAACCTACATGAATTCACCCACAGAATCACCAGCAACTGAATATAACTCAGAGACTGTATTGTTTCACCTTCTCAGGAATTGACTATCAAAATTCCCAGCCAGAAAGACTGGGCAGCCGGGGAATGCCACACTTGGGAGTGGTGACTCTCAAAAAACTCCAAAACTGCCCCAAATGCCGAATATCAGCCGTGCCTTACGATGACCGCAGTCCAGATTGATACTGCGGGTCACTTGCCAGCAGCTTTGGCAGGCCAGACGGTGAACGCCTCACGGTGTCTGTTTCCACCCCAGCCATGACCGGTTTGAGCCAGGAGCACTGACACATGGAAGGTGAGCAGGTCAGAAATCAGGCGCTGGACAGCCCGAGGCTGGAGGAAGACAGCGCTGCCCTCTGACCTTCTGGCCGAGGGAAACGACACAGAGAGCGTGACAAGGAGGCGCTTTCAGAAATCTTCCCTGCACCTTTCAAGATTCAAGGCTGGTTAATTAATTACTGGAGAGTTTGCCCAATTCTGCTGAACTTTGGTTCCCATAATCCCCAGCCTACATGCTGGGGCTGATGGGAGTGGCGGTCTAAGACTGCAGAAGAGTTTCAGCTGACGGAAGGCATTACGCAATTATTCCTCGGGTTTC